TCAATAGTTCTGCATCTTTCCGTTCAGGGTGATAGAATTTCACACAAGGTTTCTCTGCAAGAAAAGAAGATGTTGAAAAATACTTTGTTTTCATTCATGGGATGTCACACCAGCCAATATATATCTATATATCTATATCTGTCTATCTATCTATCTATATAAATAAATATATATATATATATACATACATACATACATACATACATATATACATACAAGACTGCAATATGTGTATATATATTACAGTCTTTGTTGACCAAGAAAACCATAAAATTCTCATCATGTTTTTGGAAACTGACATTTGTTATATTTTCTGATTTTAGAGACTCACTGTTATTGTACTCATAGACGGACACTGCAGTTGGTTGCAAGAAGCTTGCTTCCATAGTTGAATGGATCCTGAAAGGGATTATCTCTGGCTGTACGCTAGTAATCTGTGGAGAGGTGTCAAACAAAGGTAAAATATGTGTAGGTAGTGCAAAACACAACTGAAACACACATGCTGAACAGCAGACTTTGTAATTAGGCAGGGATGACCCTTTAACACTGGCATACTTGAGAAAATGGGGTTAAAATTACCTAAATTTGAGGAGAAATCAACACAATAGCTCTTTGAAGTATATCAAGTAGCTAATATTTCGAACATATTTAGTAGTGAAGTATGTCTATGATTATATAAATAAAAGGCAACTTATCAGTCACAAAAGAAACACAAACATAAGTCGTGTGAATTTCAGAAAGAAGCCATACAGACGATCTTACCTTATTCAGGTAAATGATGAGTGAGCCCCTTTCTGAAAGATCCGTATTACTTTCATATCTTGAAATGATCTTGGAGTGGCTTTTAGACAACTGCACACACAGAATTTAAAAGTAACTGGTTAGTACAAATAATAAGTAATTGTGCATTCTTGCTTCATATACTTGTGTCCTTTTAAGCTCTTACAGCATCCAAGTCATTTTTGTCAAATGTGAATCCAGTTGGTAAACCAACATCTATAATTGACATGGATGCATTGCGCTCCTCTTTAAACCTGCATAGGCAAAAAATAGATTGGTTAAAACAAAAACACAAGCACAGAAATTTATTTGAATGTGCTGTTCAGAACAGTCCAATTTGGAAGTACTTACAAAACCTCTATTGTCAGCTTGTATATCTTCTCATCTTCATCTAGTTTCTCTGCAAAAGCAATGCATTTGATGAGCAAAATACAAAAAAGACAGACAGACACCCATATATACCAACGACAACAGGGAGATGGACATTGAAATTTACCTGGGACAATCTGCACAGACAAGTTGAACAACTCACAGTCCTTCTCTAATACCTTAGGCCGAGCGTAATACAGCGACATGATCTGAAAATGGGAGAAAGATCTTACTTGTATTGGACTGAGGTGGTAATGTGCTTTGAGGAATAAGTTATTAAACTGAGCTCACTTGAGTGTAGAAATAGATTTCTAATGAAAGCTTCATCCTTTAACACTTTAAGGAGCAAGTGTTTCGCTGATCTCCATCTCTTTTGATGGCAAATGAACTGAATCATTTCTTCAACAGGTTTGATTCATCC